ACCTACCTTGTGGTTTGCAATTCAATGCTTATTCTATGGAGCCAGGGCACTCCTATATATATGTATATATTTGTTGTTAAGTGCTGTTGAGTCAGTTCCAATTCATAGCAACCCTGTATAGGGTTTCCAAGAAGTGGCTGGTGAGTTTGAATTGCCAACCTTGTGGTTCAAACAGATATTGCGGTTGAATGTTTATGTTTATCCTACAGCACCACACCAGGATTCTGTGTATATATATATTCTCTCTCTCTCTCTCTCTCTATATATATATATATATATATAGCGTAGTGGTTACAAATATATACACACACACACACAGAGTTAGAGAGACAGAGTGAGAGAAATAGTGACTTACCCTGGCTCTGGTAGCGTAGTGGTTATGGGTTGGGTTGCCAAACTCAAGGTCAGCAGTTCGAAACTACCAGCAGTTCTGCGGGAGAAAGATGAGGCATTCTGCTCCCATAAAGATTTACAGCCTCGGAAACCCTGTGCAGGGTCACTATGAGTCGGAGCTGACTCCACGGTACTTAACAACAACAACATTGATAATCAACAACAACATTGATAATCAAAGGTAAAGAGAATTGAGAAAGTATTCCAGAGAACAAGTATTTAACACTCTTATCACTATGAAAAACATTCTAGTTTTATTAAGTAACTGGCTCATCTTCTAAACGAGCAAATAGCATGAACTGAGTTAGCAGAAACCTGACCATAACAGCACTCTATGTATGAGCAATGATGAAAGATGATGGACTTCCCAGCAGTAAAACTCAGTGAAAGCAAGAGAACATCAACTTAGAAGTGCTCTAGGTGGGCCCCATTTAATTCACTATATTAAGCATCTGTTACCAAAAATCAAACCCTTTGCCATCAAGTTCATTCCACCTCACAGTGACCCTATAGTACACAGTAGAACTGATCTGTAGGGTTTCGAAGGCTGCATATGTTTATGGAAGCAGATAGCCACATCCTTCCCCTGTAGAGCACCTGGTGGGTTCTGTTAAGTATCCAACCCTATACAGGTTCGCTATGAGTCAGAACCAACTCGATGGTACTTACCAACACCAATTTCCCTGGTGGAGTTCTACTGTGGTACTGTAGGATATCTAACTAAAAGGTGGATGGTTCAAACCCACCAGCCACTCTTTAGATATCCTATACAGGGTCACTATGAGTGGGAACTAACTCGATGGCACTTAACAGCAACAACGGTGGGTTAGGCGTTGGGCTGTTAACTGCAAGTTCGGCAGTTTAAACCTACCAACCTTTCCACAGGAGAAAGAGAAAACTGTTTGCTCCAATAAAGATTTGCAGTCTTGGAAACACTGAGAAGTGGTTCTACTCAGTCCTATAAGGTCACTATGAGTCAGAAGCAACTCAGTGGAAGTGTTTTGTTTGATTTTGTTTAATTTCCAGGTACCAAGCTGTATCAATCTTGTTTTTACCAGTTCACTTAGTGGCAGTTAGAGTTAAAGCCAGAGTTAATGCCCTTAAAAGGTTTATAGTTTTCAGAGATCTTCTAAACACTAGCAAATATGCTGGAAAACATTGCTCAAGACTACTAATAGACTGTCATTCCAGTTGCCTAACATAAAGGAACATAAAGTTTTATCATGATTTACAGATTTTGAATAATTTAAAATACCATTAAATGCAATAATTAATAAAGGCAATTTTTATTATACATATTGGGTGTTTAATAAGTTTCTACAACACTAGATAGTAGAGTCTTGGTGTGGCACTGTAGGATAAGCACTGGACCACAAGGTCAGTAGAACCACAAGGTTGGTTTGAACCTCAAGATCAGTGCTTGAAACCCACCAGCCTCTCCTAAGAAACCCTGTACAGGTTCGCTATGAGTTGGAACCAATCAGATGGCACTTAACAACAAGATAGCATGAGGGATCAAGAATAAACATAATAATAATGTTGTTGTTGTTAGATGCCATCTGACAGAATCCAGCACCATCTTCATAATTGTTATGCTTAAGCAGATGACCAAGCTTGCTTACTGAAAGTGAAGAGGACTTGCAGCACTTGCTTATGAAGATCAAAGAATATAGCCTTCAGAATGGATTACAACCCAATGTGAAGAAAACAAAAATCCTCACCACTGGTCCAATCAATAAGCAACATCATGATAAACAGAGAAGACTGAAATTGTCAAGGATTTCTTTTTGTTTAGATCCACAATAAATGCAGCAGTTAAGAAACCACGTATTAAATTCAGCAAATCTGCTGCAAAAGACCTCTTTAAAGTGATTGTTGTTGCTGTTAAGTGCTGTCCAGTTGGTTCTGACTCATAGAGAGCCTGTATAGGGTTTCCAAGGAGTGGCTGGTGGGTTTGAACCATCGCCTCGTCCTTCAAACCAAGAACGTCATCCTGCTAGACAGCAAAGCTATCACTGTCCAGTACATTATCCTGCCAGAGAGCACAGCTATCACTGTGGGGACTAAGGTGTGTTAGACCCAAGCCATAGTATTTTCAATTGCTTCATAGGCATATGAAAACTAGCCAATGAAATAATAACAATAGCTACCATTCATTAAGCATTTTACTTGTGGCTCTGTAAATGCTTAACTCTTAGGAGTCCTGGTGTGGCACTGTTAGGTTAATGTGCCTGACTGAAAAGTCGGTTTGAACTGCAAATTTGTCAATTTGTCGGTTCAAGTTCACCAACTGCTCCTCGGAAATCCTACATAGGGTTGCTATGGGTTGGAACTTAACAACAACAACTATAAAATAAGCACTCCACCTATGCTCTATTGACTGCACAAAGGCTTTTGATTGTATGGATTATGACAAGCTATGGACAACATTGCAAATAATGAGTATTCCGGAACACTTAATTGTGCCTCTGAGGAACCTGTACATAGACCAAGAGGCTGTCTGTTCGAACAGATCAAGGGAGCACCGAATGGCTTAAAATTAGGAAACATGTGTGCCAGGGTTGTATTCTTTCACCATATTTATTCAATCTGTATGCTAAGCAAATAATCTGAGAAGCTGGATTATATGCAGAATCATGTTGCATTATGATTAGAGGAAGACTCATTAACTTAATATTGCAGATGACACAATCTTGCTTGCTGGAAAAAATAGGATTTGAAATACTTGATGAAGATCAAAGACCACAGTCTTTAGTATGGGTTGCATCTCAATGTAAAGAAAACAAAAATCCTCACCACTGGACCAATGTTACAATAAGTAACATCCATATAAATGGAGAAAAGATTGAAGTTGTTAAAGACTTCATTTTGCTTGGATCAACCATCAACATTCATAGAAGCAGCAGTCAAGAAATCAAACGACATATTGCATTAAGCAAATCTGCTGCACAAGACCTCTTTAAAGTGTTGGAGAGCAAAGATGTCAGTTAGAGGACTAAGG